CACCATGGTGGGATTTGCCCCAAGTCACAACAGATCCATTGCCCAGGATGGCAGCAAAAGCCCGGCCGGTAGCTTGGATCTGCTGCACATCCGTCAGCTGACCTTGAACAGCACTGCTGTCGCCACCATACGCTTCATGGCCCCAGGTCACAACGGACCCATCGCCCAGAATGGCAGCAAAAGCCCCGATGGTGGCTTGGATCTGCTGGACGTCCTTCAGCTGATCTTGCACAACACGACTGTCGCCACCGTAGGCGTCATGACCCCAGGTCAAAACAGAACCATTGCCAAGAATGGCCGCGAAGGCCTCACCAGTAGCTTGGATCTGTTGAACGTCCTTCAGCTGACCTTGCACAGCACTGCTGTCGCCACCATAGGCTTTATGGCCCCAGGTCACAACGGACCCATCTCCCAGAATGGCAGCAAAAGCCCCGATGGTACCTTGGATCTGCTGGACATCCTTCAGCTGACTCTGGACAGAACTTCCATCGCCGCCATAGCCAGCCAGGCCCCACGTGACGACAGACCCATCGCCCAGAATGGCAGCAAAAGCAAAGTCGTTGCCGCATACCTGTGGTTTCCGAAAAATAGGGGCACCATTTTGGGGTCCTTACTATAAGGGAATTTTACTATTTGGGTGTCAAAATTAGGGGTCTCGTATTTTCGCAAACTCCCACCTGGATGCTACTCACTTGCAAAGTCAACGTATCGCCCTGCTGCAACCTACATTCCTGAAGCGTGGCTGCTCCGTCCAAAACGGTATTGGAGGCATCCACGAGCTTGCCCCTGCCAACTGCCAAAGCCTTCTGTGCTTTGCTCCTCAATGTTTCCACATACTCATCCGGCCCTGTCTCCAGTGAGACCGTCCTGCCACTGAGCAGGCCCACCTCAACTGCAAAGGACATGCTTCTTCGCAGGCAACACCTCGCGGCTGCGCAGCATCACTGGGGGGTTTTGTTCAACGTCGTAGTGTCTAGACCCAAGAGGAACCTGGGAATGACAAGGGTGCCCATTTTTTGTGGCTTCTAAAAAGGGTTTCTAAGGGAGCCCAAGCCCTGAAAAAAAGAGAAGAGGGGCCCTAACTCTGGTTCCTAGATGTTGTAGTCTGCCTCACCCAGGACGGGCTATTCGACCCTATAAACCCTTAAAAAAGGGGGCCTTTTATAGGGCTGTCTATGGGGGGTTAGAGGGCCCAATAGCCCATCCTGGTCTGTCAACCCTAAGCCCTAAACCCTAAACCCTAAACCCTGAAACTCGTAGATCGGCAACATCCTTGAGCCCGCACCGTGCAATGACGTGAGATTGATGTCAGGGTTCTCGGAGTCGCCTTGGGTTTAGGGTTTAGGGTTTAGGGTTTAGGGTTTAGGGTTTAGGGTTTAGGGTTTAGGGTTTAGGGTTTAGGGCTTCCCTGAAAGCAGGGACACCAATCTCGGAAACCATCATGATTTTTTTTTTGTTGTGGGGGGGGGGGGGGGGGGTTGGGGGTTGATACGAGACGCAAGAGAAACCTAGGAATAACAAGGGTGCCCTCTTGGATTTTAAAGGGGCTTATAAGGGAAACTGAACCCTAAGAAGGGGATAAGGGCCTACTCTGGGGCCCAGACTCTGAGCCAAACCAGCATGCCCTGCATTTTGAGATGAGCAAATAGCAGAAATAGCAGGATTGGGGAAACTGACATTCGTGTTCGTTTTGAGGGCTGTGGAGCGCACCAAAAGTCAGTTCGCCCACACAAAGCTGCCTCTTATGAGTTGTGCTTAACAACTTAGGCTGGCTTGTAGAGCTCAGAAACCCGGTTGCCCTAAACCCTTTTGCATCCAGGTCTCCAACCCCCCTAAACTCTAAACCCTGAACCCTAAGCCCCCATAAACCCCTAGACTTTTGGGTTCAGGGTTCATAAGGGGAGAAAAAAACCAAGCCTCCAAGGTGATACTTCGCACGGCGGGGGTGAGGATGACTAGGAAGGGCCCCTGTCGGCTCAGGTCCTTATCCCCGAAATTACTGAAACAAACCAAAGCGGTTTAGGGTTTAGGGTTTAGGGTTTAGGGTTTAGGGTTTAGGGTTTAGGGTTTCGACACTCACACACGCACGAGGCAGGCAAGGATTCTGGGTGGTCTGGGTCTCCTCTAACATCCATTGCCCCAGGGTTTAGGGCCTTAAGGGATTATATCGGGCACCTTATTCCCTCATTCCCTGCTAAGAACCAGCCAGAACCCTAAACCCTAAACCTTAAACCCTTGACCTTGAACCCTAAACCCTACACCCAAAACCCTAAGAGAAAGCCTCAAACCCACCGTTCTGGCCAGGAGCAAGGGTGGCTTTGTCCTCACGGCTGCAGCCAGCTGCAGCGAAGATCGGCCACACGGCTTCCTATGATGAGGGTTTAGGGTTTAGGGTTTAGGGTTTAGGGTTTAGGGTTTAATTAGGGTTTAGGGTTTAGGGTTTAGGGTTTAGGGTTTAGGGTTTAGGGTTTAGGGTTTAGGGAAACTCCAACCCCTAAACCCTAAACCCTAGCGGGGGCACCGCTGGGACCTAGTTCGGGCGGCTTCTGAAACATTCCCCTGGTTTACTAGGGAATGGGCGACATCAGGAATCCTATACAGAATACCGTAGAGGGTATGTCAAGGGGAAGGGGGATATATAGGGTAACTGTCTCATCTACTATTTGCTAAGAACCCGCCTCCCAAAAAAGAAACAAGCAATATACATAATTTAAAAATATTCCTCCCCAAAAGCGCAATAAAGGGATTCGTCTCGTTCATTCTTTTTTTGGGGGGGTTCTTAAGCAAATAGTAGCACTAAACCTTTGCCCTACACTCTAAACCCTAAACCCTTTAAACCCTAAACCCTTAGAACCCCTTATATACCCCTCAAAAACCCTAGAAACCCTAAGGGCCCATACGTAGCAAATATTGGTCATTCCCCTCATTCAAACCCTAAACCCTAAACCCTGAACCCTGAACCCTGAAGCCTAAACCCTACGAAGAAACAGCAAGGCATTCTGCGCTCGAGGGTCCGACACCGAGGCGTAGTCGCACGGGGTCACCTGAGTGGACAGATCCAGGGTCCCGCAGGTTTAGGTTTTAGGGTTTAGGGTTTAGGGTTTCGGGTTGATGGTAATTAACTATAGCCCCAAGCCCTAAACCCTAAACTCTCAAGCTCCTGTAACTTGAAATTCTTCAAAAGTCAAAACAGAAACTGCCCGAAAGTCCCGAGAAGCTTTCCCCGAAACTTTGCGCGGACCTGAACCCTTAATCATATCAGTAAACCCTTATAAACCCAAACCCTAACAGGGTTTCGGGGGTGTAAGAAACTGGTGAGTTGCAAGGCGATTTGAATTGGGTTACCTTCCGCCGCCCTTGGCATGTACCATGTTTAGGGTTTTTCAGGGTTTACCCTCGACTTCCAGGGGGGCCCAACTCTTGTGCCTCTAAGGGCTCTAGAACCCAAAACTACTAGGCCCCTGGAAGTGTGGGGTTTAGGGTTTAGGGATTTGTGACAAGCATGTGATGATAGTCCCTACACCTATAAACCTTGTCGTGCCCTTGCTAAACCCCCGAACTTGGGATGTTCCCTTTAATACAAAGAATCCTTCATAGGGATTATAATTGGGAGTTCGGGAGCACGTTAGTCCCTATTAAGGACTGTTAGTACAAGGGGGAACATCCCAACCCCCCAAAAACTGATTGTCGCAGAGGGACGCCCTCGCGGTCTTTCTCCTCGGGGTTCGCCCTCCTTTCCAGCAGCAGCATGCAAGCCTCGGGGGCTTTGAGCTTTGAGGGTTACCCTAAACCCTACACCGGTTGTTTAGGGTTTGTGGTTTACAGCGCAGGGCTTTTTGAGGCTTCAAGGTGTTTTAGAAGGTCTTAGGGGTTTGGTGGGTTTTAGGCTTAGGGTTTAGGGTTTAGGGTTTAGGGTTTAGGGTTTAGGGTTTAGGGTTTAGGGTTCAACCCAAAAGGCTACCTGCTAAGCGAAGTAGGGCTCGGGATACGGGCGAAAGCCCCTTGATGTAGGGTCCGGAAGCCTGAGCCCTGTGAAGTAACACCCCTAAACCCTAAACCCTAAACCCTAAACCCTAAACCCTAAACCCTAAACCCTAAACCCTAAACCCTAAACCCTAAACCCTAAACCCTAAACCCTACAAACCCTAACCTCTTGCCAGAAGGGCCTTGCCCTCCTCCTGTAGAGCCGCCGCATGGAGAGCCTCAGTGAAACTTAGGGGTTTTTGGGTGCAGGGTTTAGGGTTTAGGGTTTAGGGTTTAGGGTTTGGGGGGCTTGGGCTGCTGATCAAACTTCGTATCACAGGATATGGGTACTTCCGATACAACATACCCTTGAGTCGTTGGTCCTGATTGTAGGGGAAACCCCCCCAGATTGGTAACCCTAAATTGGGTTGAGGGTTTTAGGGTTGAGGGTTCAGGGTTTTGGGGTCAAGGTTTCGGGTTGAGGGCCTGGAGCAGTGACAATACTGTTTTTTCGAGCGTTCAGCGGTTGTTTGCTGTACGGGCTTGTGGAGTTTATAGTCTTGGAGGCTTGTCTTAGAAAATTGAGGGCCCACTTAAAAGGCGGATGGTTCACTATCATATAAAAAGTTACCCTAGTCCCGCGAGTGCCCACGACCCGGGTCTGTGGACGCATCGCAGGAAACCGAAAGCACAACCCTAAAATCCTCAACTCCAAACCCGAAACCCTAAACCCTAAACCCTAAACCAAAACTCTAAACCCGAAACCCTCCCAACCTTCCTCTGGGCCCGCATGGTCTTGGGGGGGTCTCGTCGGGTTGTCATTGGGTGCAGTGGGCTTAAGATCCCGGGCGCAGGGCTTGCACGATTTATTCTGGGGGTGCTGCTGAGGAACTGGAAATTATGGACTTCCCACAAAGCCATAGCATCATGATTAACATCATTAGCATCAGGTTTATCATCTTCAAGAGGAGTATCTTTTCGATTATTACTATTGTTCCTATCATCAGCAGCATTACATCTTCATGATGGTGTTTATTTTACACTGCCAGTGCTAAGGTCGTGTTCTTTTCGGCGCACCTGGGGCGCACTGGTCGTCTGGGGCTTTGGCTTCGGGACCCTCAGCCCTTTTTGAGGGTTTAGGCTTTATAGGATATACCCACCCCACCCCCCCAAGCCATTTTGAAACAAGCCCTGAGGTTTTGCCCTGAACTGTAAGACCTACTGGATTCTTTAACATGGTTTCTGGGGGATACTACTGTAAGACCTACTGGGGAGCCATTTTGACTTAGTAAGCAGGGTTCGTAAGTTGGGTTATGGGATTCTTTAACAGGGTTCTTGGGGATACTAAGTGGACTTACTAAGTCAAAAGGGCCTCCAAGTAAACCCTGAACCCCTAAACCCCTAAACCCCTAAACCCCTAAACCCCTAAACCCCTAAACCCCTAAACCCCTAATTTTAAACCCCTAAACCCCTAAACCCCTAAACCCCTAGACCCCTAGACCCCTAAACCCCTAAACCCTAAACCCCTAAACCCCTAAACCCGAACGACCGAAGGAGTCACAGGGGGCTGTCCATTGCGGGCCGTTCTCGTTCTGCAGCGCCGGGGAGGCCATCGAGTCCAGAAGAAGCCGGAGGATGTTTACCTGGGCACTTTTCGATTTTGTGTGTGGGTGTTTTCCTCTAAATCCTACACCCTGAAACCTAAACCCTATACCCTAAACCCTAAACCCTAAACCCTAAACCCTAAACCCTAGTTTCGCAAAACCACCAAAACGGCCATGAGAGAAGGCGCTGGCGGCGACGAGGGAGCCCCACAAGGCTGCTCACACTTTGAGATGTCGACTTCATGAGCTTAGGGGTGTAGACTTAGGGTTTAGGGTTTAGGATTTAGGGTCCCTAAACCCTAAACCCTAAACCCTAAACCCTAAACCGGTAGTTTAACCATGTCTGAGGGAATTTCATGGGCCCTTACTATGGTCCCTAACCTCCTCTTAAGGGGGTTCTGATGTATGGTCCCTTGAGTTCTAGCATATTGAAATGGCCGGTGGGCTCTTTATCTGTTACCCTTATATGTATACATATATATATATATATGTAAAATGGATCCTTAGGTTGAGGCTAGAGGGAAGGGTTGGGGGTTTATAGGGCTCATAAGACTTGTCTTAGGGGACAAGAGACGACTGAGGGATGTACCTCCGCAGGATTCTTGTGTGTATGTACCTGTGGGTTGTTCTTTTTTTCGGGTCTGTGTTGAGCAAATCTTGGTTTTGGGCTAGGGTTTAGGGTTTAGGGTTTAGGGTTTAGGGCTTAGGGCTTAGGGCTTAGGGTTTAGGGCTTCGAGTCAAAAAACTCCCTTACTTCTTGGCGGGGCGCATGGCCCCACATAGCCGCAGCACAGAGTGGGGACGTACCATCCAGCCCGACTTCGTTGACCTTGGCAGCCGGCGTCAGGAACGTGCATTCCTATACCCCCCTCATGGGTTTAGGGTTTAATTAGGGTTTAGGGTTTAGGGTTTAGGATTTAGGGTTTAGGGCGACTAAGCGAAGCTTATAGGAATGCCCTCCAAAACCCTGAGCCCTACAATCAAAATAATATCCTTCTCCGGACATCAGGAAAGCGAACAAAGGGACAACTGTAGCCAGAACCACGGGGGACATGAGCATAGCAACTCTAAACCCTGTGTTTTTCGGACGGAACCCAAAACCCCACAACGAGAGCCTGTGTATAGAAACCCAAAGCCTGGTTTATGAACCAGAAACCGGAGGCCTGTTTAAACGAACCCTCTCGCACTCTCTCTCTCTCTCTCTCTCTCAAACCCCGAAATGCTATACCTGAAGTCTCCCAACGTGCTTCCTTTCTGGGTTACTCACATACAGTAAAACCACTGTATAAGAAACCACTGTTTAAGAAACTGAGCCCCTAGACCCGGGAATATTGGTCGATTTGCGGTTGCCTTCTAGCTAAGAAACTTAAGGTACCCTAGTGCTTTGCGGTCAGTTTCTAAAAAAATGCTGCCCGCAACGCCCCGCGGGTCTACCCCAAAAACGCGCGGGAGTCACATTCTAGAGGTTTTCAGCCCTGAAAAGCTCTAAAACGTGACTCCCCCGCGCCTGCGGCCTGACCCTACCCCAAAACGCGCGGGAGTCACATTCTAGAGGTTTTCAGCCCTGAAAAGCTCTAAAACGTGACTCCCCCGCGCCTCTGGCCTGACCCTACCCCAAAACGCGCGGGAGTCTCATTCGGGAACCCTTCCCGCCGCCATTCCTGGAACATGGGTTGGGTCTAGTGGTATAGCGTACTCCCTTAAGAAATTAGTTTAGAAACCAAGCCTACCCTAGGCTCAAACCCCCCCGGGTACATGGGTAATGGAAACTAAGAAACTTCGGGTACCCTGTCGCCGGAAAACCGGTTTCTTATACAGCGTTTTTACTGTAGGGGTATACTGCCCTAAACCCTGATCCCCAAACCCCAACTCTGAACCCGGTTGCCTAAACCCTGAACCCTGAACCCTGAACCCTAAACCCTAAACCCCAAACCCTGAACCTAAACCCTTTTTGAGCACGAGCTTTGGATGTAAACCCTAAACCCTAAACCCTAAACCCTAAACCCTAAACCCTAAACCCTAAACCCTAAACCCTAAACCCTAAACCCTAAACCCTAAACCCTAAACCCTCCGCCATGCTGCAGCCCCGGGGTCGGCTTCGATGACGCGGCGCACGCCGGCCTCATCGCCGTTTGCCACGAAGGCGGTGAGCCTCTGGGTTTAGGTTTTTTTTTCTTGGGTTGGGTTTAGGTTTTAGGTTTTAGGGTTTGGGGTTTGGGGTTTACGCTGTTTAGGGTTTAGGGTTTAGGGTTTAGGACCTAGGGTTTGGGGCTTCGGGATCTTTTTGGGGGTTAGGGTTTGGTTTGTTTTTTTTCCCACCAGTCTAGCCGCACTGCAGGGTGACGCTTCAGGAGTAAGGACGCATTTGAAGCACCAGGTTTGGGGTTACCCTGAACCCTAAACCCTAAACCCTAAACTCTAAACCCTAAACCCTGAGGTTTAAGCTTTGGAAGTTTGCGAAATCACCGCCGAGTGCTTTGGGGGGCTGCTGGGCTCCAGCGCTACCGCTGAAAGGAAGCCCAAGAAATCTAGAATTGTGGCTCTATGTTGCCAGATGCGGTGATTGACATGTAGCCCGGTGGAGGTATAAGCTGCAGTGCAACTGACCAGCCTTGAACCGAAACAAACCCCCGAATCAAAAGACATCTTCACGCATCAACAACGACATTCTTGCAATCATAGGGTTAGGGATCTAGGGTTTAGGGTCCTTGCAAAAGCCCTTACCCAAGTGCCAGTGCAAGCTATAGGCCTGCTGAATGCCACCCTCAATGTTCTTGATCCTGAACACACACCCAAGCATCCCCTGACCTAAACCCTAAACCCTAAACCCTAAACCGTCAACCCTAAACCCAAACCCCAAAACCCTAAACCCTAAACCCTAACCCTAAACCCTAAACCCTAAACCTAAACCCTAAACCCTAAACAAACCCTAAACCCTAAGCCCGAAACCTACAAGCCCCATGGCGCAAGCCGACCCCAGGTCGTTCGCCCCTTGGGACCCCCGACCTGCACCCTGACACTTGAACCCGCCAGCCATCAACATCTGTGCATACTTACTACTGGAACTGTTTTTTTTTCGACCCTTTAAGGATCTTAAAGCACATCCAACCCAATAATCCCAAGGGTACAACTTTAGGGGTTTATATAAGGTAGAGTCTCATGACGTAATTTTTCTATCCCTAAAACTCCAAGGACCATCCCGCAGAGGGACTGGTACCTCCTGGGGAGGGTCCTGGGGCCTCAAGAGCCTCTGAGGGTACTTACCACTGGAACTTCTTTTCCGAATCCTGGAGTACCACCACAGACACTAAATCAGGGCTTGTGAAGGAAGCTTCTCAACACCTGCACTGAGGAAGCATGTTGGAAGCAGGGAGTTGAATTGAGTTTCGGCCTAAACCCTAAAAAGGAATCGCCGCCTGAGACGGCGCGGGGTGGGATGAAAGTGCTCGATGGCACTAGCCAATCGGGCCAAAGCTGCCTTTCGCATGCTACGAGGCTTTCCGGGTACTCTGCATCCCAACCTTCACAGCTTCTGCGCCATATCACAGCAAACCCTAAACCCCAAACCCTAAGCCCTAAACCCTAAACCCTAAACCCTAAACCCAACGTGTTTGCCGCCGAAGATTCATCAGGGCCCTGGAGTCATTCGGCTCTGGCTGGACGGATGCAAGTGGGTCCATGGGTCCATGCTGACATCGCTTGGGCCAAAACCGCACGGCATGGAGGGTTTTGAGTCTCAATAAATTAAGACGTCGTACCCCTAAACCCTAAACCCTACACCCTAAACCCTAAACCCTAAACCTTAAACCCTAAACAGGATCCACTGGGCTCATAAGTAGCTCTCTCCTGTCCCCCAAGTTGTGGGTGTCCTGAGCTAAAGTCTGCGCCCCCTTAGGGTTTGACGTGCCCTGGGTTTGGGGACCCCTTTCTAGGGTCCGGGGTTTAGGGTTTAGGGTCCTGTTGCCCCCCAAGCCTCGAAACACTAAACCTTTCTGGAAATTCCCTCCCCCAACCCCCCCCCCCCCCCGGAGGGAGAGAGATATCAAGCAGGCCAGCAATGCCTGCCCAGCTCCAGAAGAACTTGCACGAGATGTCATCTACTGAGGTTACTAAAGCAACGGACACCCTAAACCCTTAACCCTAAAGCTTCTTATGACCTCAAAGTGGTCAGGGACGACCAACTGAAGCCCAAATCCAAACCGGGCCAGAGCAGGCGTCCTCTTTCGGGAGGAGCCGCCAACCTGCTTTCAGGGGTGTTGCGGCCCTAAACCCAAAACCCAAAACCCAAAACCCAAAACCCAAAACCCAAAACCCAAAACCCAAAACCCAAAACCCAAAACCCAAAACCCAAAACCCTAACCCTAAACCCTAAACCCTAAACCCTAAACCCTAAACCCTAAACCCTAAACCCTAAACCCTAAACCCTAAACCCTAAAACGCAGCCCTGCACCCTATACTTATGGTTTAGCAATCACAGCACGGCTCTCTTCTTGGGTACAGGATTGGGATGTTCCCCCATCTACTAACAGTCCTTCTTTCTTACGGATTCTAGTACTGTACCCCCCTATTCTTCCCCCCATCTACTAACAGTCCTTAGGAGGGATTACAGTACCCCTACTATTCCCCCTATTCAGGACTGTTAGTACAAGGAGGAACATCCTAAGGTACATGGAGAACAGAGATCACTCTATCCGAGCTGTGCAGTGAACGCCGAGGTGGGTTCCACAAGTTCCATGAACGGACACCCGATACCGTAAACACACTTGACACCAAGGAACTCCTCGAAGTATGCGAGTCCTTCAACAGCACCCCCTCCGTCCGATGCAAAAATCCCTGCCAGCATTCCTAAGCCCGACTCTCGAAAAAAACACGCTAGAGCCCCCAAACCCTAAAGCCTAAACCCGAAACCCTTAACCCTAAACCCTGCCCGGCCATGTAGAAGAACAGCGTCCAGGGAGCTGCCGAGAATCCGATCAACGGCACATCACCAAAGCCCTCCTCGGACCTTGGAGACAGCGAGTGCTTGAAGACAGCGGTGAGGCGGTCTAGTTGAGGGTTTAGGGTTTAGGATTGATATGAAGAGGCTTGTTCTTGGTGGCACGCAGTCACGCAGTCCCCTACACCCTGCGTTTCTCTTTTTTTTTTTTCTTCTTTTTTAGGGGGGCAAGGGGGGGGGGGGGGGGGGGGGGGGGGGGGGGGGGGAGGGGGGTTTGGGGGCGTCTGGGGGGAGGTGGGTGGGGGGGGGGGGGGGGGTTGGGAGCATCCTTTTTTGGTAGCATCCATGTTGGGTAGCATCCATGTTGCGAACTGCCGACCGAAGGCTTTCGGGTTAGCGTTCTCAGTCACGAAGTTAAACACGTCTTCGACTCAGCACCCTAAACCCTTAGCCCTTAGCCCTGAACCCCTACCATTGAACTCGTAACCCTGACCCCTAAACCCTTAACCCTGAACCCTCTCCCCTTTTTCAGTGCCTGGTAACGTTGGGTGCCGATGTCTTTAGCAAACTTTGGGTTTGACTCGAGTCCTCACTGGCATCACTGGTCCAATGAACACCTGACTTGCTGACCCTGGTGTGTCTCTATTCAACCTGCACTATACTTGAAGGTTCATGGCAATGATTAACCAGTTGTAACTGTACTCCTAAATGTATATTGGGGAACTTAAGGGGCGTATAAGTGGGTTATAAGTACAGGTATAGTTGGTTAATCAGTACCATAAACCTCCAAGTAAGCACCAGCATTTAATGGGTTTCCCTACTACCCCCCTCTGTACCACCACCCCTTAATGAGGCTGAATGATCCCTAAATAGCCTTAACTATGGGGGGAACCACGGGGGGGGGGGGGGGGGTGTAGTATAGAGGGGGGTAGTAGGGGAACTCATGAACATTAGGGTGTAGGTGTTAGGGGTGGTTTAGGGTTTTGGGGTTGTAAGTTTGTGTTGTTCTGGCAAGTTAGGATGCGCAAAAGGGCCCATATTGTATAGCCCAATACGCTCAGATGGTGCTTGGAGTTTGGATTCAGACCCCCCTCCAAGCAGAACGAACTCAAACGCACAAAGGCCCAAAGAAGTGGGGTTTATTTAGATTTTAGGGTTCAGGGGGATCACACTGAGTTGTCAAAATACAACAGAAGTCTGAGGCCAAAGCTCTCAGAACAGCTTGCCCCCAAAACCCTTCTTTCAGCACGGACTGAGGAGGCTGCCAGCAAAACCTGAAAGCTGGGCCTTCTTGCCTTTAGCAGGGGCTTACCCTAAACCCTAATCCCTAAACCCTAAAACCCCACCGGTGGTTACCCCAAAGGCCAGGGCATGGTCGAGACGATGCGCCGGACGGACTCAAGCACATGGGCCTAAGGCTTTCGGGTTTGGGGTTTTCGGTTGGGATGTTCCCCCCGTATACTAACAGTCCTTATAGGGATAATTAGTACCCCCTACTTTAATCCCCCTAAACCCTCAACCCTCAACCCTAAACCCTAGCATACCATAATCCTTACTAAGGACTGTTCGTATAAGGGGGAACATCCCAAGGTTCCGGGTGGACGGCGTTTATGTCATTGCGCTGCAGGGCACGGAAGGAGGTGGGGCGTTTGGTGGCTGAGTTAAGATTCCGCTGGGTAGGCTCATGAGCATCATGAGATCGGTCATGATGAAGTTGTAAGATTTCTAGGGGAGCAGGTTTAGGGCTAGCCTGACCGCTGGTACGGGAACTTGCTAAACCCTAAACCCTAAACCCTAAACCCTAAACCCTAAACCCTAAACCCTAAACCAGCCTTATCAACAAACATGTGCAACTTTCTTGCCGGAGTCCAGAAGCTTTTGCCTCTGGGCTCGACTCCAGTCGCTCCTAAACCCTGAGCCCTAAACCCTAAACCCTAACCCCCCCCCCCCCCCCCCCCCCCCCCCAAAAAAAATCCCCCTAAACCCTACCCGCCAAGATCCCAGCCAAGCGCTCTTCAACGAAGGCGGCGGTGGCTGGGTTTGGTGCCAGCCGCGCGAGGTCCTTGTGGGAACCCGGCTCGGATGGGCTAAGGAAGAACTAGATTAGGGTTTAGGGTGTAGGTTGTTTAGGGTTTAGGGCTAGGGAATAACTAGAATACGTTGAGGGTTTGAGGGTATGAGTGTATCGGGTTTGAGGGTCCCTAAACCCTAAACCCTAAACCCACCTCAGTTACGGGTTTCTAGCCCTAAACCCTAAACCCTAAACCCTAAACCGTAAAGGAGGCTTCTCCGCCTGCGGCTCTCTGGGCTGAGCTTCCCCTAGCAAGCCTAAGCCCTTCTAAAGGGAGTTTCATGTCCCTTACACGGGGACCCCTTGCGGTTTCGGGTTTAGGGTTTAGGGTTTAGGGTTTAGGGTTTAGGGTTTAGAGTTTAGGTTTAGACCCCTTTTACATCTTATCTTAACTTCTATATATAGTCCCTATCCGCCTAAGCCCCTACATTACCCCAAGCTCCCTCATAAGGGTCGAATCCTATAGTCCCTACTCTTAGGGTAGTATTGTGGCTCCTTAATATGGGCCCTTCAATGGGGGCCACTTGAATACGCCTTATTTACCCTGCACAACCCAAGGGCCCATGCTTCAGAAGCCATTAAAGCAGGTATGGGGGTTTAGGGTTTAGGGTATAGGGTTTAGGGTTTAGGGTTAGCATATTAAGGGACATGACATGTAACTACCCCGAGCAACCCAAAAACCCTAACAGCCCTAAAGCCGTAAACCCCTTAACGTTTGCCTTATGAACCGCTTACCTCTAAAACTGCTTGATAGCAATGGCTTACAAAACACTACGTTTGGGTTTTGTTTACTCGAAACTCTAAAATAAAAAAGAACTTGGGGACCAAACGAACCCTGAAAGGGTCTAGGGTTCATAAGCCTTGATAGGAATTATCGTAGTGTAGGGTATGTGACCCCCAACTTTAGGGTTCATTTCGTCCCCAAGGAAACAATCCCCTAAACCCTAAAACCTAAACCCTAAACCCTAAACCCTAACCCCCAAACCCTAAACCCTAAACCCTAAACCCTGAACCCTAAACCCTAAACCCTTCTTTCGAACCCAGGCTGGACTGTGACTTGCTGGGAAGGGGCACACGCCCCGAAACCCTAAACCCTAAACTCCCTAAACCCTAAACCCCCTAAACCCTAAACCCTAAACCCTAAACCTTAAACCCTCAACCCTAAACCCAAACCCCTAAACCCGTCGGCTTGGGCCTCGGGGGACTCCAGGGGCCGGGGCACGAGGATGCCTGGAGGGAGCTGCGCCGACCGCTTCAGGGTTTTCAGGGACTTCGGGTTCAGGGCTGAGGGGTCAGGGTTCAGGGTTCAGGGTGTAAGGGTCTAGGGGGCTTTAGGCTTTAGGGCTTATGGTTTCGGGGTCTTTGGAGGGGTTCATGAACTCACAACGGACAAGCTGCGGCCCGCGACGTGACACGGCTACGGTTTAGGGGTTTGGGCTTTCTTTTTGCCACCCGTCTAGCCATGCTCCATGGGGCAACTGAAGAGGGAAAGTTGTGTACAGATAACTTCAGGGTTTAAGGTCTAGGGTTTAGGGTTATAGGGTTTTGGGTTCAGGGTTTAGCTGGTTCTCCAGGGAGGGGGGTCCAAGGGGGCGGGGGGTATCTAACCTAAGGTTCCCTAATGCTCCCAACTGCTCCCTATAAGCTTCCCTAAGGCCCCCAGTTACCTACCC